GAAAAAAATTTTCCGACTTACCCCTGGTCCCCCCTTGCCCTAAAATTTTTCGAAAAAAGTGTTTTTCGAATTTCAAAAAAGTGAAGCAACAGTTTTGTTCAGAATTCGACGCTGATTCCGAAAATGTATAATTTATTGTATTTTGTTGGGGGACGCAAAGTGGCCTTATCGGCCCACGTCCTTTTATTATATTGTTGGAAAAGGCGTCACCCACAAAACATCAGGTGAGATTTTCAATTTTGCGTTTTGGAATGCATCAACATTTCTACTAATTTTTATCTCGCTAGCTTTCGTAGTCTTTTCGGAGAATTTTTACTGGGAAGTCTGATTCTCATCGATTGTGGGCTTCTCACGCCCCGTGCATGAATGCGCGAAAAGAAGCTGAATTCAAAATCCAATAGAGTTTTATTTACACAGAGGAATGAGAGCATAAGGAAAAGACTTGACCAAAGTTTAAACCAAATTCGAATGCTCTATTGAAACAACAAAGAAATGAACGCCGTTATTAGATAAAAAGTATAAGAAAACATTCACAATAACCGTGTACAATTGCATAGATAAAATCATATGAGGTATGATTTATGTTTTTCCATTTCAAGGTTAATTAAGACACTCTACGATCAGTCATCCATACGAAGTTCTGTATGCTTGTTTATTGTGATTACAATTCATAACCAGATAAATGACGAGGAAAAAAAAAAAATTAGAAAATAAAGGAAAAAACGATGCTGACACTAGTCAAGCTACAGAAGAATGTTCAGTGCAGGATCAGTTCTCGGTATAGATTTTAATTGATAATAGACTAAAGGGCGGAGGCGATTATTAATCATATTCTCGAGTGTGTCTCTCTCGGTCTCATACCTCAGTAGAACTATCATATGTCATTCGAAAGCTCTTTTTCTGCGCTATATTTCTGAATATCACATATACAGAAATAGTCGTTCTGAGATCAAGTACGTTTAGAAATACTTCCGTCTATGGAAAATATGTGCAAACGCTCTAAGATAATCTATGACACCCGTTATAATCTAGCCACTACAATAGATATACCAAACGATAGAGAATTCCTCTCGCTAAAAGTTCATACATATATGATAGTGAAAAACGTGTCCCAGGACCCCTTGACATTAGAAATACAGTTTCGAAAGCCGTGAAAAGCGGGTGACTTATTCCACAGTGAGGATCCTATGATCAACGTTTCTTAACTAGCCACTACGACAGATATACCAATCGATAGAGAATTTCTCGCGCTACAATTTCATGTATATATGATAGTGAAAAAAGTGTTCTAGGACATCTTGACATTAGAAATACGTCACGATTTTCCAAACTGCATTTCTAATGTCAAGGAGTCCTGGGACACGTTTTTCACTATCATATATCTATGAACTTTTAGCGAGAGGAATTCTCTATCGTTTGGTATATCTATTGTAGTGGCTAGATTATAACGGGTGTCATAGATTATCTTAGACCGTTTGCACATATTTTCCATAGACGGAAGTATTTCTAAACATACTTAGCCTCAGAACGACTATTTCCGTATATGTGATATTCAGAAATATAGAGCAGAAAAAGAGCTTTCGAATGACATATGATAGTTCTGCTGAGGTATGAGACCGAGAGAGACACACTCGAAAATATAATCAGTAATAGGTGTCAGAAGTGATTACAGTTAATTGGACCCAATTTTTTCTGAGAGCATTTCTAAGGTCTGCCGAGTGGTTAGAAATGTTCTCCTGTTCATTCTGCATCTAACCATGTATGTGTCGATGTAATTCAAGCAGGGGCCGATTCGATCAAATAATCGTCCCGTCCTTTCTGAAAGAAATTGCCGAATGACTGAAAATAGAGTCTAGAAGTGAAACGAATGGCAAAAGTTACTTGTCATTGTCATCTTCTCTTCAAATACGTATGTTTGTGAAATTCAGGTATAGCACGTCATCTGAAACGTAGTTCGAAACGTTTAGCTATCCTGATCGTTTTTCTTGTGCATGGTTATAGTGTAGACGATGGTTAAATCGAATTATAGTCTGAAATCGATTGAATCATTTCAAAATTCTTAGTGCTTAGAAGCCTGTACAAATACCACTCAGATGGTGAAACGGTCCTGAAAACTGAAGCTGTCCTCGGTGATTTTCTGATACTTTAGTGGTGTGCCTGTGAAGGAAAAGAAAGAAAGAAAAGGAAAAAACACAAGGTAGGAGGTTGTTTGGATTTTATGTGAACAATTTCATCATTACACATGACACGTACACCTTCGTAAGGACGTTCTAGAGTTTTGCACTAATCAATTGACCTATATATATATGTTTTCTTATAGAATCGTATCTTTTGGCAGAATGCAATAAGACCGCGTAAAATCATATCATCCGAAAATACAAGATCTTATCTCGTAACCTTCTAAACCCATGCAGACGTTCGACTAGTAAAAAGATTGGTCGATTATGACTTTTCATAGCTAGTCGCCGATCCAAAACGACTCATCGGAGTGCCACTTTAGAATTAGTAGTTGACTGGTCGATAACTCGTCAGAATTGCATGATTAGTGCCGATTAGTGGAAAATACTAGTTTCGAGTGTATACTAGTTGCAAAGTGATTGTAGCTTGATAAATTTTACGCAGATTGAAACACAAATATAGAACTTCATTATGTTCTCTAACTCTTTAGTGTTTAAGCACAGAGAAAAGAACCACTGTTAAACCTAAAAGAAAACAAAACGTCTAGATCAGGTAATATGACTTCATTGTGCAGCCTTTTTTACCCAGAAAAAGACATATTTCTCTTAAAGTTCTATAATTCATCTTTGCCTACTTATTTATCATTGAAAAATACAACGAATGCAAAAAGCTTAGAAACACCAGTTGCAAAACAGTGGATGTAAGGTTTCGAAGGCTGAATGCTGTAGCTTACGATATCTTTGCGTGTACATATATGTATCATCGCACATAATTCAACTAGGAGACCTTATGTTTTCGGATTCATTTTTCACTAGAATGAAAGAAAATAATAAGTTGTTCTGAATCAGCGTGGATTTTAGCGTTTTTGATGTACAATAAGAAACGTATCAGCAGAAGTGTTTTTATTAACCAAGATTAGTTGCTCTTATTCAAAGTTAAATATTCTGGAACATGTACAATGCTATTCGGATGGAAACGAAGGGCATGTTTTTGCATATCTATTTGAAAATATGCTGAACGGAAAATGGAAATTTTGAATGCTTTACAGATATAAATCTTTGGACTTGATCTCTCTCTAACTTACATTGGACAAGTTTCGACATCCAGCTTTTCTTATCTAAGTTTAGCAGCTGCTCAATAAAAATCCTACTTTTGTTCGTCAACGTAGTTTTGAGTATTGCTCTAATAAATACTAATATTTTTTCATCTCCAAATGCGCCAGTTAACCTAACAGACCCTAATGTTCGATAATAATTTGACCATGATAAGTTATATCTGCTGCTAATCGTTTTTTAACCTCATCTATACTCTACTGTTCTAGGACGGATGAAGTTAGACAAACATTCTTTGCTGCTGTTGTTTTCCTCGACAACATCTTTTCGTTGAATATATCTTTTTATATTATATCGTTGCAAGCGTCAACGCTTCCCACGCATGAGTCATTCTTTTCCACTGTCCGTCCGCTTTGATGAAAAAATTCTAAATTTTTTCTTCTTCTCTGTCAGTCAGACTATCACAATAAATGTCTCTTTCTGAATTCTATAAGCAAAAAAAATAAATGTTAAATGTTAGAAGAAAAATACAAATAATTATAACTTTGGTTCAAGTCTCTGTATAGTCTCGTAAGGTATTAATGCAAGATTGTTCATCTTGGGCACTGACCCCGTGCAACTTACAAACTAATACTGGTATCTCATTCCTTCTTTCTTTTGTCCACAGCATATCGGAACCCCTCCATATCAGAAAGTCGATGCATATCACTCTAACATTTTTATAAAAGGCAAAACGTTTAACATGGCTTCTACTTCGAACGTCAATAGTGGCTTCGAACAGTTTGGTTTAAAACTGTACCAGGATATTGTAAAGACAAATCCTAACGGGACAAATGATAATACATTTATTTCACCGGTGAGTATCGCACTGGCTATAAGCATGTGTGCAGCCGGCGCAAGACAAAATACATTAGATCAAATGTTAAAAGGTTTTGGATCGAAATCAGCTGATGAACTGAATCATACTGCTCAACAAGTAATGAAAGTTATATTATCAGTCGCAAATGCAGAATTAACTGGATTGAAACTGGCGAATCGTTTGTATGCTCAACAAGATTATCAAATACGCCACGAGTATTTGTCATGTCTTAAACAATATTACTCTACCGATCTAAAACTGATCGATTTTAAAAAGAACAGTGAAAAAGCTCTTAATGATATAAATGGATGGGTCGAAGATCAAACAAATCATCTGATCAAAAATTTGCTGACCCTTGACAATGTAAGATCTGATACTAGTTTAATTCTGGTCAATTGTATCTATTTCAAGGGAACATGGCAAGACAGATTCGATGAAAAAACCGTTAAACATGCTACATTTACATCGGAAAACGGTACACAATCGACGATTCCATTAATGTTTCAAACAAGAATTTATGCGTACAATGATAATTCAACACTCCAAGCACAAATTGCTCATATACCATACAAAAGCAGTAATAATAATAATTTCGTCCTTACCATTGTTCTGCCGAAACAAGGTGTCAGACTGACAGACATTGAAAAGAAACTGGAAGATGGTCAACTATTGAAACAAGCGTTGACAAATGAGTCCCGGCAAGAGTTAAACTTATATTTACCAAAATTTAAAATGGAATGTCTGTTTGATCTAAATCTAACAATGAAAAATTTGGGTATGACCGATGCATTCGGAATTGGTGTTGCCGATTTCTCTGGAATTGAACCAACAGGCGAACTGGTGATCAGCAAAGTTATTCATAAAGCATTCATAAACGTAAATGAATACGGATCGGAAGCAGCTGCAGCTACAGCAGTATTAGTCGTATTTGGTAGCTCTCCATCGTCGCACAGATCAAAGGCAGTCGAATTCAAATGTGATCGACCATTTTTATTCATGATTCGTGAAGCTAAGCATGACATAACGCTATTCGCCGGAAGATACGCAAAGCCTCCTGAAAGTTAAGTAAATATGCTTATTTATCGAAACTCTAGTAAACTAATTATGCTTAGTTTCTCTTAAAGTATTTAGTTGTCATCATAATATCGCGTTAAGAGTTAGCCTGTTGCAAAATTGCAAGTTAGAAATATTTAAAATATAATTTTGTGTTCGGTCTATTTCCGTTGGTTCGACTGGTTTTTATAGATGTGCAAAGACGACAGAGTAGTCACAGTTTTTCCAATGCACATTTGATCATTTCTTTTGCGGCACACATAAAAGTGAAAAAAGGGTCCGGACATTCTTGTCTATCATCACGATGAAGATCTGAAGCTGATAATACAAATCAGGCGCTTCCAGATCATTCAAATTAACTTAATCGCTGCTTATAAGTGAGCTCTTGGAGAGATGCATTTCTCAGAGAAGTTCTCTGAGAGAACTATGCAACGAATAAAATAATTTTTTGTAATCGGTGTTTCAGAATTTATCATATACGGGTTGAATACCTAAAAGTAAGGTCAAAATGTCGTTTTTGCCTGGAGGATTTCGAATCTAATCATAACCAACAAAATGTGCCTAGTGCGGATCTATCTCTTGATTCAAAATGGGAAATCTGCAGAACTAAAATTCTTATGAGAAAAAAAAGTAAAATTCAACTGTTGTTGATAACTGAGATCCTTCTCCCGCCTACTTCAGTTCAACAAAACTATATAGCATATGAATGACACTCTTAAAGAATTTAATAATAAAACTCAAACTACAGAAATATCCACTATAACAAATACTGAATCATTGTTCAAAGTATATTTAAATAATCTCAAACAACTACTGTTTTATACACGAAAATTAAAATTATTTAATGGTATATATTTTGTTATTTAAGAGATGAAATTAATTTTCAGCAACTTCAACCTCAAGTATTTTGTCTACATGATTTCAAATTCAAAACATCAATTTGTATTCATTCTAAGCATATTGCACTGTTATTACAACAGTCGCCATTACTAAAGAGACCTGAATTAAATGTAGAGGCTGAAGAAATATGTAACGGTCAACGATCGGAATATTTAATACAAACATGTTTAAAACAGTTAACAAAATTTCACTTTTTATTTACTTGTCAGCGAGTAAGTAAAACATATAATGAACTATTACGTTCATTCGAAACTGTTGATAACTTTGTTTATGGTTTCTTTTTTGATTATTTTATTGTAATTCCTATTCATTATCGAAAGATAGTAGCTTCTCCAGATATTCTCGAACATAATAAACCTTCATTTGACTACACGGTAAATTTACAAAGGAACAAAAGAATGATCAAAAAAAAGAACACTATATATTGGATATGAAGGGAACAATATGAGAAATTGTGGGATGAGCCACACGCGTGAAGAGACTGTGATTAACAATGGTCATCAAATGACCTCATCAACTAATAATAGAAGGCCACCTTGAATAAAGGCAGGTTTTTAGAATATCATCGAGATATATACCATCATCATCGAAATTTTGTTGTGAAGAAGATTTTCTTCACCAATTGTCTTGGTCACTTGTGCTTATATTGATCCTGATGCTGTATTTCAACAAGTAATTATTTTCTTCACAAAATATATTTTTGTTATATAAAATAACAATAAAAAAAAGAGAAATACACTATGTGTCACTGTCCGCTCTGACAAAGCACATACAACGAGCCACTAGGCTCGAGCCTTGCCTCAATTTGGCTCCGTTAGGCTGAGACTTGCTTTAATATGAAAAAATTAGTTTCGTTTTTCCCCCGTTTTACACAGAATTTGCTGTTCATACCAGATACCCAAACAATAATATAATACTTTATGGAAAAACGCATTAGCGTTTAATTGTTGTTAAATTGCTTTTTTTGAAAATTCCACCGCTTCTACCTCTCCCTGTTGGAGGTTTTGAAAGGTACAAGCCTGAGCCCTGCTCGCCCCAAAACGTTCCGCCGCCTCTGAGCAAATATGTGAAGGAAATACAGAGTATGTATATGTAATTGATATCGCCATTTTCAGTTTTCATCGTGTTATCTCAATTACTCCGTAAGTTTTTGATATGACATGATAGAAAAAAGTGCTCTGCACTCAATCCTTTAACAGGCCAGACTCGATGGTGTGTTCTAATGGTATTTCTTGTTTACTTACAAAATCATGTCTTCCAAGTTCGCTCTGTTAGGGATAATTTGAACACGTTAAAGCGCTTGGATAATGTGAACACGTCCATTCAGATACACTTTTGTACATGGATATTTTCCCAGTATTTTCTACGTTTAGAGCTTATCTTACACAATTTTGTAATATATTTGGAATAAAAACGGTTTATGATAGTTCAAGAGATCAACTGATTCTAAATTCGTAATGTAAAACTAATGTAATTATTCTTGTCGTTCAAGCATTGAAAAATATTTACGATACAGTTCAAAATGATATATCTTATCGGTCTTAAAAGGACCAGAGCTGGAACCGGTTGAGAAACGGTAAACCGGCCGACTGGAATATAACTCGAATCGGTGAAAAATCGGCGAAAACCAGGAAAATACAGGCGAAAAACTGCCGAACTTTGTGAAAATCGATTTTTAGAAAGAATTTTCCTCAGAAATGAAATACAGGCTGGTCTAAATGTCATCCAACGGTCTTTGGCTGCGGTTTTTGGAATACCTCTGAGAACGTAAAAATCTGGGTTTAGTCTCATTCCGTAGAGACTTAAGAGAGACTTCGCCAGTCGATCGAGTATCTTGCCAAAGACCGGTAACGAGTAAAAAATTGACATATACTTTTTATTTCATACTCGGATTCTACTATCAAAACTGGGTTATGAGAAGTATGAAAAAACTTTCTGACTTATTCTGACTGAGTTATAGAATTTACAAAATCAGCACCATCGTCGATTTGCGAAAAGTAGCCATCTCTGATATTTTGGCTAAAACTCCGCCATTTTTTGTCCAGTTTGTTTGAGCAACATCGCATTCAAAAACCTGATAAAAAGTACATCAAATCACATAATCCTAATTTTTCTGAAGTAGGAATGGGTGCGCGTTCAAGTAAACACGCATAGCATCATTTGTCAACAAAATTCGTCGGTCGTCTTATTTACAAATACAAAAGAAATCAAATATCGTTCGTAGAAATTCTAACCGAAAAACCAACGCGGCTGTCATTTCATTTACGCAAGATTTAGTCGATGGAGCAGAAGAAACCATTTCTGATGTTTGACTACCCAACCGCAAAAAAGCATAGTGTAAAACTGCACAGGATGACCAAAGCAGCTATTTCTAATAATATATAACGACCAGAAGTTTCAAAAAAACCGGATGTTTGTTTTATAAATACACGAAATGAAACAGAACTTAGTATAACAATGAAACGTACATACTTTTGCGATAGAGAATGAGAATCTGAGGCAAACACGAGATGAGAAAAATATGACCTCACCGGTCATCGAACCAGTGCAGAAGGAGTCATGACCATATATGGGAATAAAAAAAGAAAGTCTTCAACTTTTTCCAGTCTTAAATTTGGTAGTGACACCGTAACTCTACAAACTTTTGACGAAACTGTTGTTCCATATGCTCATGGGACTCATCAGACAGAAGTGTGGCACGGACACCGTTTATTACTAGTTGTTGGATCTGATCGACATCGAATGCAAGTGCACGTACGATTCGCAGATATTCATCTGTCAGTGTAGTGTTGAACATGGCCGGATCATCGGAATTTATTGTAACGTAAAGTCCTTCCTTTAGCAAACGAGGCAGAGGATGATCACCTAAGTTCGTCACAACCCCTAAACAGACATTGCTGCTTGGACAGACTTCCAACGGAATCTGACGATGACGTAATAATGTTACTAGATCAGGATCTTCTAAACAGCGCACACCATGTCCGATGCGACAGGCATGTAACAAATGGATAGCATCCCAAATACTTTTGGCTCCTTCAGTCTCTCCTGCATGAGGTACACATGGCAATCCAGCTTTGTAAGCATAATCGAACGCAGTCTGAAATAATTCCGCCGGATTTCCAATCTCAGGACCACCAATACCAAGTGCAACAACTCCATGTTCTTTTCCTAATATAGCCCATTCGGCAACAGTCATGGCATGCTCTACAGGCCGAACATTACGTGATATATCAAGAACCCAGCCAACTCTGATTCCAAGTTCTTCTTTTGCCCATTTCTGCGCTCGCTGTAACGCTGCCAATTGATCTTGGAATGGAATTTGCCGATTTAAGCTATAATGGGTATATGGTGTGAATGTTACCTCGCTGTATAATATATGTTGTGCAGCTTGATCTTGTAGAAACTTTCGCGCAATTAAGTCGATATCGTCCGCAGTACAGATACATGAAGAGATTATGAAGTAAATTTCTAGAAAATGTGCAAAATCACGGAATTTATACCATTTCTCTAGTTGGTCATGTGTATTAACAGGAAGTATAACGTCATTGCGCTTGGCGAGTTCTAACAATGTGTCAGGTTGAATTGATCCTTCGAGATGCACATGAAGTTCCACTTTTGGCATTTCACGAATTAAATCATACAGCGACATCCGTTGTTGTTCACTTTTAAAGTGTTGCTGTATGATTATTGTTATTCTAACTTGCTGTTAGAGACAAATAATTTTCAAAAACTGGATCAAAAATGTCTGTGTAATTATTCAATAAGAAAAGCCTTCAGTGATGTTTCGATAGTTCACTTTTATACTATAAGAAAATCAAATAATGTAGCGGTGTGTATCAGTATAGTAATGAAGCACATCAAGTTATAATAATCAAGAACTACATTTACTAACAAAACTAATAAAAAGCTCTAACTAATTCAAACCGCACCATAACATATTATTAACCTTTAGATATATGTCTCTTCATCCTTATATTTTGTTTTTAGCATTTCTTATCGTATTCCAACGTGAAAATATGTCATCGCATTCTCATACGTGTTCCTTTTGAAAATATAACGAGTAGAACTCGTCGTCGTTACACAAGAAGTAAAATGAATAATTCGTTAAGCAGAGAGTTGTAATGCTACTCTCTATGAGAAATCTAATTGGCAAAATATCGATAATCGACAGCTAATCTTGGACGGTAAATAATATTGTTAGCAATAAGTCTGTGTTTTGTATAATAATATAGTTCAAATGTTAATAACAATAAAGTCAGTAATAGTAATATACGTTTAATCATGACTGGTGTTACAGTTAAAGAAAAGATTTTGTTTGAGAAGACATGAGAAATTAATTCAAGAAATCCGAAAAGATAAAACTACTGTTTTTAATAGATCAAGAATGAGTAATAAAAACTTGCTCTCTTTTTGTCTATTTTTTTAAAATTCTTGGTAGTTCCGCCGAACATGCAGTTCGCTTTCTAACACTAGTATGCCTTTATGGTTGAAGTTGCAAGAGATTCCCACATTAAAACTAAATAATAGATATTTATTAAGGAAAGAAGTTCCTTCTACCATTGGCTGAAACGAAACAAACATTCGTCTGTTTTTCTGCTACTTATTTTATAAAAAAAACGATGTCACTAGGAGAAAAAAGCTACTTTGCAACAGAAAAATCTTGTCAAGATAGTCCATTAGGGAGTTAAAACGTATTCTCTCCACCGGAGAGGAGAGTCTTCCAACGCTTAAATGCGTATCACTGTGTCAATTCATCCAAACACCTACTATTAGTCTATATTACCTAACAGTATTGACCAGTATTGATTTTGCAATATCCAAACAGTAGATGCTAAACTTCATCATTCGAATTATGTATGTTAAGAACATCTTTTTCTACAAGTATCACTTATCACCATAATTTTAAATCTTGAACTCAAAACAAACGCAACGGGACCAATAGACAAGCAGAGTGATAGATGGCGCTGCTTGCATCGAAAAACATTAGTGTAGTGGACCTACGTACACACAGATACTAGTGCGACGGACATAGATACACGCATATTGCGGAGAGTCGTACATACATTTACAGTGTACGTTGACATTATGATAGCAGGAAAATGAAGTTAAGGTATTCAAATAATGTCGCACATGCTTTCAAAATAAAAGTTATCCAATATACGTGGTCAGAAATATTTTCAAGGTGACTTTGATATTATGGCAATAGAAAAATGAGGTTGAAAAGATAAGTTATTTTAACAATCGCATATTCTTTCAAAATAAAAATTATAAAAACATAAGTAGTCAGACAGTAACTGCAACTCACTGAAAGTGTAAAGCGCCAGGAAAGAATAGTCGTCAGATATTTCTTGTCATTTTTACTGTAAGCCAATCGGATCCACATTATCAGAAATATATTAGGTGGTTGATCAGTATGTCGTTATTTTCATCCTTGCCCATCCTTGACTTAAACGATGCTGAACCGATTATTATTGAAAGACTATTTGATGCATGCAAAACAACTGGATTTTTTTATAGGGATAAAACGTAAAGGACGAGAGAGTTGCCTACCACGTTCTCTCTATATTTACTCCCAGCAGATGTCCCTGAAATATTAACCCGTTTGAAAAGTCATGGTTTAAATGATTTACAGTCAAGAATGTTTACTGTGGCAAAAGAATATTTCTCTTTACCACGAGATGAAAAATTACTTTATCCGATAACAAAACAAAATGAGGGCTACATCAGCCTAGGTCAAGAGAAACTAGACACAGCAACTCAGCAAAATCAGGCAGGACCAAAACTGTTGATCAATCAAAAGGAATGTTACAATATTTTAAAACGGACAACGAAAAATGATGTACCAATGGTACTACGAGAAAATTTTCCTTTATTAGAAGAGTTACGTTGGCGTTGTTATTCCTTATGCATGCAACTCTTAAAATATTTGGCTACAGGTTTTGAAATTAATGAAAATTATTTTACCGACAACCATGACTGGTCTGCCGACGGTGGTGATTTACTTCAATTACTTCATAATCCACCGACGGACAAAACAGCAATACGCGCTGGCATGCATTCGGATTACGGCTCATTCACATTAGTATTTCAACGTGAAAATGAAAGTGGTTTACAAGTGTTTGATCATCTCCAAAACGAATGGTACAATGTTGAGCCGTGTGAAGATATGTGCGTGGTAAATACAGGGGATATGCTCGAATATTGGACAAACGGTTTCGTTAAAAGTACAATACATCGTGTCATGCCTTTGATAAACAATCAAGAAAAAGATCGATATTCAATTGCATTTTTTTCCATAGCGAATAATCCTACTCTGTTGACACCAATAAAATCGAAATTTCTCGTTAAAGATTATCAAATGTACCAGAAAGATGAGCACGCTAAAGATATATTTGATTATGAAAATCGAAAAAGTATAACAGCCGGTGAACATTTGCAAATGAGATTAAACAGAACATATAAATAGACTAAAATATATTCAAGGAGCCATTATTGCTCTCTTCAACATATCTTTGCGATTATTGGACTAATTTCATTATTGTGTGTGAATAAAGTCGTAAATGAATGATTGAAATGTATTCATTGAAAAAACAAAAAAACGAAAGAATAAATTCCGTCAGTTAAATGTATTCTTTTTGCTCCCAATCCAGGTGATATAGATAGTATACTAAAAAATATTTCCTGAAAAAGAAAGAAAAGCTGAGGAATTCAGTAACTCAGTTCTGCTGACAGTTTTCCAGTTCTTAGTGGGGACCTAGACGGAACCTGCCATCCGTTCACCGGGGAACTGGGGGATTGAGGTGATATAGATAGGATAAGAAGTAGTTCTTGGGAAAAGAAAATTTCGCACTGGATGCCAGTTCCCCAAGGAACTGATGTTAGGCTCTCTCTAGATACCCACTAAGAAGCGCTGTTTTAAGTTACGGCTCTTAGAACGCAAAAAAATGGAATTCCGGAGCGCTAGTTCTTGCCGTTCTGTTAAAGATTAAATTTCCGCACGTGTAGCTGGGTTGATCACAGAAAATGTCTTGCCTTCAGTACTATCGAGCCATGCATTCTTGATAAATATCTAAATAATTCATTTTTAAATAATTCCATGTTTGAATAACTTATCTTTTCGACCTCATTTTCCTACTATAATAATGTTAAAGTATACAAGAATCGTAGAAAAGCATGAGTACATTTTATGGTTAATATTATGGTTAATATTAACGCTAATATAATAGAATCTTCTTTGTTTTGTTACTGAATAAACTATGAAGGTTCTACTTGCGGGATTCCGTTAAAGAAGAACTGAAGTATCGTTAACTGTAGAGAATATCAGAGTTAGGTCCTTTCAAGTTACTCTGACAACCTTCTTAATTTGAGTCATATTGAATAAACAAAAGCTTGTTTTGTTTTCCTCATACCAGTATTCGCAGCTAAGTGTTACAACTGCAGACGAAACTTCAACTAAAGAGAAAAGCAAAAAGGATTTTTTTCCATGCACTATCACAACTATTGCTGAACGCTACTGAATTCATTCTGGGAAACATCAAAAGTGCTATTTACTCCGTTTTAGTAAAAGGTTTAGAACATGCTTAAATTCTATTCTCCATTTTATACACCGTCATAGATTCCGTGCCATCGTGACCTGTCTTTTCGCGGTAATATAATTTAGTTGGTACCACAATATTCTGTCTTTTTGAAGCATTTCAGTCAATCGTTTTATAGTGAGCTGAATGACCGTTTCTCTGTCTCTGATGAAAACGCTTGTTTCCGTGTAGAACGACCCATCCGTATTCCAGAACGCTAGGTCAGACAAGAAGGTTTTGGAATACGTCCTCAGATACTCTCTATTCGGAATTGTCAAATAGAGACTTAGAAATTTCTTTCAAAAATCTAGTTGGTTGCTGCAAATATCAAGATGAGTTTTGAATGCAGGAGCTTCGTCAAAATTTATATCGTTTTTAGCTGAAGAAATATCCCCGTGCTAGTAGAGTTCAGTGCCCAGTTCAGTGAGTTTTTTATTAGACTGAGTTTCTTTAGTGAATTAAAAAGCCTAAACCTGGTTTACTGTAATATTATTAGCAGAACCAAACTCATCTAAAAGATCATTAAGGTCTGTTAGCCGGCGCTTCTTCTGCCTATTACCTATTTCGATGAAATCTCTAATCGTCTTTTTTGGTGGCTTTGGTCGCTGTTCTAGGTCATTTTTATTAAGAATTATTTTTTGAAATCCAGCGACACGTTGTTGACTTTTTTTACGCCCTGCCTCAAAATTATTTCTGTTAATCTCAGTGTAATTATAGATTACACCTGCGATGGTGTATTTGTTTTCGCTGCGTTCGTCAGTACCAAAAAATTCAGATATTTGTGACACCGTTGTGTCTTTATATTTATCACAATTATTGAATATATCAAAAAGTTGATGTAGACTTAGAACGACATTTGTGCCGTTCGGTTTAACAGGGTCAGTTTTTGCATGGGATTAGGAGTATTGTTAGCCATTGCTAGTGTCTGAGCTTTGGAACCGATTACCGTAGCCTCAAACCACATGACGGCACAGTTAACAATCCAGCCATTATCGTAAGCTTGAGGAGACCGCTTAACTGCGCTTTTCTGGAAACCTGTTTTTCGGAACATCTAAAGGATAACCAAAATCTTTCTTAATGAAGCATAACAGTAGCCAACGCATTTCTGATTAAAATGAGGCATCTCCATCTTCTCTTGTAAATTCTATAACTTTGCAAGAAAGGTCATGTAGAGCTGAGAGATGTCTCGTTTTGATCAGAAATGTGCGCGCTACAATCATATTTCATTACGAAACGTTTTGGTTATCTTTTAGAGTTTCTGGAAAACTGGTTTCCCAGAAAATTGAAGCTTCAAGAGTCATGGGGGAAAATCCTTTTACGCTTTTTACTAGCTCGAAAACCCGCTATCAATCGACATATAAACGAACGAAATGGGAAGGTATCACTTGATAGGTTTCCTCGTCAGTACACTTCCTGAGTAGCTTATCGTTAACTGGACTGAGTTAAGAAGACAGTCAAAGGTAACTGTATTTTATCCTAAGAAAGCCCGGACCTACGAAAGAATGCCGATTCGTCTCACAGTTAGATGTCAGTCAATTATAGGTGAATAAAATGTTAAACTGAACAAGTTGAACACTAACACTTTTATTTGAAATGACGATTACTTTTGATAAGATGAATATTTTAGTCCACACTCTCTGCCTACTCAGTCATATAGACCGATAAGTTTTATTTAGTGTTCTTAGGTGTTAGCAAATGAATAATAGAAGAGAGCAAAAAGTGAAAAGGTCTCTGTTAATTACTCAAAAATAACACATGTTATTTCGGTATAATATCGCTTTTGCCATTCAAATACTTGAAAAGGGAGTTTGTATTTAGATTACTTTTTTATAATGTCGTTATCAATAATCGAATATTAGGAATCAACTACTGATTTTTTTTCTCCTGTTTTCTTCGTATAATAATATATAACGAATAATACAATAGGTAATGAAGGATGTATAATGAGTAAAGAAAGTAAAGCATGAAAAATTGCTTTTCTTTCACGCATCCAATTTTATGCACAAAATACGTGATCGAAAAGCAAGGAAGATGTGTTACTGCTAAGTGTTGTAATATTTCCTTTCTCCAATCATTCTCCAGTACTTATACCTATACTATTTCAGCGACAACTTATTCAAAGTATAATGTTTAATTTGGTGATAGCTCTAATCATTAGTGACCATTTAGTATCGGCACAGAACAGTGAGTAGTTGTTGACATTCAAACAAGCCGAGCTGTGAGCTCTAGTGATTCTAGTGTCCACTGAACACCTTATCACAGGAAGTAGTTTCGAACATGACTTCCGTTAGCAATGAACAGTCTAATTTTATCCAGTCTATTTTGTAGCATATGGAACGACTAGACATGCATTTTTTTCGGTATATGTGTACCAAAGGTCCAATATCCAACCATCAATATTGGTATCTTTGTACACAAAATGGACGCGTGAAAAAGATCAGTTAGTGTACAAAACATGCAGCTAATTTTATCTACTCTGTCGGAGCACAGATACTTGAGAACCCAATGTGTTGCTTTTTCTTATTTTTCTGTAAAAGTGGGTTTCGTCCTTTTCTTTTGTGCGTCAGACAGAAGATGGATAATATTCCACTTAGGGCTATCCAAACGTAGGGAGGGAGGTACTATTTTTTTTTATAGAAAGCTTGAAAAAATTTTCTTTTTTCATGAACAGATCGAGCGTCTTTCGCTCTGTTTTTCTATGCTATTTAATCACTATTCAACTAATATCATAATAATAAAATTTCGATAAGATCTATTTCTTTCCCATATGTGCTGGTAGCATGAACATGAATGCTCGTGAGTACTTTTTGAATAACTGCAAAAGACTTAGGTGTAAATTTAATTATTTGGAGATAATACGTATTCTAGACGAACCTCTACTACGATTTTCGATCAACTTTTCTGTTCTTTTCTTTTTTTCATAAAAAAAGCATTTTTCCGACGGTTAGAAAATTGAATAAAAACACTTCAGAAATCATATTAGAAAAATCAGTAATCTACAGTTCGATGCGCCTTCATCTCCTCTTTCCAATGG